TTTTTTTCAAAACACCAAACAGATCACCCATTGTAGCCATGCCTCATACTGCTCAAACCCCTCCTTTGAAGCCCTGTCCTTAGCTTGAAAAAAATAAATAAGGAGGCGGAGCTAATGCCTGATTTCTACCAGAGATAAAGTTAAATTCTGTTGTGATAAAACGCCATCCTGTTCAAACCACCTCAAGGATTATTTCTGAAATAGTATGGAGCTCAAATGCTTTTTCTCTTGCAGGTTTNAGTCACTACAGTGTATACTGTATAGTAGGTGTGTAATGTCACAGCCCTCTTAAACGGGGCTCCGCGCTGTAGTGGAAACGCGCCATAACAGTGTAATGCGTATAGTCTACTCTACACTCTACCTTTCAGCAAAGTTTTAGGGATTCAGGCTCAGTCAGCTCAGGGACTGTTTGGTTACTTTAGTTTGGTAAATGAAATAAATGTTTGAACTTTGTAGTAGTTCACTGTAGTTGCTGTCATAAGTCATTTGTAGACTAAGTGGCAAAAAGTGTTTTTTTTACATTTGTACTTTGTAGAGAAATGTAGACACAAGTTGGAAGGGAGCACAATAAACCTGCCGAGTTTGAATTTGAGTTGATTATGAGTTTATTTTCAATTGATAATTAGCTCACAATAAGTTCACTTTAGTTACTCACACAACTTGACACAAGCCATGGGTTCAGAATGTGAGTCCAGGTACGCAGCACTAATCCCAAGGTGAGTTCTTTTTTTATAACACATGTGCTCTAGATTACAGGTTAGCTCTGAGTGTTAGCGAGGCTTGCTAATGTAAACAAAGACGTCCAAAACACGTCATGCATTGTTTCTGATAGCAACTTTCTTTGGGTCCGCCTTCCGAATTGACGTCAGTTCGGATGGAATCTGTATCTGCTTGTTGTACACCCGTTTTTAAAAGATTTTGATACGGAGGAAAAGAGAGAGGGTTTTATTTTCTGACGCTGTGTGAGTTCCCCGACGCACCGGGGACACATATTTATGTATAAAACACATCACAAAGTGCATTTTGCATGATAGGTCCCCTTTAACCTAACATCCTCCTTCTTTTCCACTATATACTGTATATTTGCTGCATCCTGTGCTTGGCACCACCCAGTTTTAATTGTGATTGGTTTAAAGAAATACATAGGGTTTTTCTCCAGAATGTAAATGGTTGTGGCCACCTTTCTAGAGATTAGGGTGAGTTGTTACTAGTACACTTCACACTCATATGTACAACACTTTTTTCATTCACCTCCTAAGATGCTCTTCCGCCCCCTCTGTGGTTGGCTCTGACTCTTTACTGATTGTACAGCCTGGGAGTCCGTTGGAGGAAAGTGAGGACGCCTGTGACAGCTTTGGTCTGGTGAGCGGTGTTGGTGTGTCCGGTCCATTTACATTTCGACTGCAATAACAAGTGATCAGTTTAGAGTACCTTTTAGTCATCATTTCTCACACAATTCATATTACAACATGGCAAATCAGCAGAAATAGTCAAACCCAAAATGACAGGCAAGCTATATCAGCCCTTACTGTGGCCTCATTCAACTTTCCACATGGTGGTGTGGTGTATGAGGCATATTTTATATTTATGGAAGTCAATCATTGACAAATATGTGGCTCCCACCTGTCTGAATATAGAGAAGAGTTACCAGGAAACATCACTCCATTCATTCTGTTTACACTGGATGCCCCATTTTTCCTTCGAAAGAAGTAGAAAGGCACAACAAATACCAGCTGTTAATGGTCACTTTATAATTGTGACTGAATCAACAAAGTCAAGGGAGCTGTCAATGTGCTCCAGAAGCAGCTTTACAGAAGCACTGCAGGCAGCAGAGCAAAGGAAGCACAAGTGTAACAGCTGATGTACTTACTCTGATGCAGGGTACATACAGCTGACCACCATTACATTCTGCAAAACATTTAAAAAAAAAAAAAAATAGTGTGTATTAGAATTTAATTCAAAGTTTCAAATAGTTCAAACTAAATGCATGAATATTGTTTATCTCTAGAAAAAACACTTATTTCTCACCTTCTCTAAACCCATGAGAAACTTGTGTGTTCCTGTGTAGTTGCGCTTGGGGTCCATAAGGAGTTCACATAGACGCTGGATGGTGAATGGGATTCTGGAAATGTGATCAAGGGATATCTTTAGGATTAGCAACACATAGCCGTTTTAGAGCCAGCATCAACACTGCCAAATCCTGGCAGCGCTGAATGAGAAACAACTTGGATCGATCTGAACAGACTGGGTCATACATTATTTATGAATCTTGACTGTTTGTCTATAGGGTTGCTTGCAGTTTGTAAAGTGGCTTATTATCAGCTTTACTCACCCATGGTAACCATCCACTATTTTTAAGATCCTCGTCTTCATCTCTTCGAAGGGAACATAGTCCACATTGGGATTATGTGGTGCTCTATGTTCCGGTGTTGAAGCATGGAAATCATCCATGACTTTTTCCAATTTAAACACAAAGTACGTTTTGAACTGCGACCATGAGATCCTGGAAAAATATTGGAAATGCAAGACTGCATGTCATACCGAAAAAATGAAAAGTTTTGGAAAGAATTAAACAAAAAGCTTGATAAGAATCAGAATGAGTCCAACAGGCAGGTTTCTCATACAGTAGATCTGATGTCTGTGTGTGAACTACTACTCACATTGGCTGCCCCGTCTTGGCAACATGACCCAAGAATTGCTCTAGTTCAGGACAGGTCTCATTCTTGCCTTTCTTCTCAAATTCTGTAAGTGCCCACATGCAAAATAACAACAACATAGTTAATAAGTTTGTAATATATCAACCGACCGGATCAACCTACCTGAACTAAACAGAACCAAAGATTGTTTTACCTGTATTAACATTAACCTAAAAGTGGAACTTTTCAAAACAAACCAGAAGCCCATTCTACAATTAGATATGAATTTGTTCTGGAAATTATTCTGCAAAGCTGTTAAACCACATTTCACTGCATGCTACTTCAGGCATGCTGATTCTACTCTGACAATGATCACATTATTGTCGTGTCAATTACTTAGTGAATATTTGCTGGAGAGGCAAGTTAAACACAACATCATATAAACGTGAAACACCAATTTGAGTTTCCTAACTGGAAAGTTCTTGCAAAAGTTGGTCAAGTTAGCTTGTGTTTTGTGATGCTACCCAGCTAGCTGTTTACATAATCTATCAGTCCGGTAATAAATAGGTCAAAAGTGTAGCAAGCAGTGAATGTATTTCCTGCAGAGAATAACATTACACTAACTAGGCCATGCAGAGACAGATCAGATTGTCCCTAGGTGCTTATTCTCAACGCTAATCGCTGTTAGTAAGCTAAATTGCGGTAATGCACGTAATGTATTTAGCAAGCATTAAGGCATTCTTTCAAGGCATAACAACACATTTCAAATTCATTCACAAAAACATAGCCTTTGTTTAAATAACTGTAAATATTACCTTGAAACGCCTCCAATAACGCGTCGATGTCCATAGCTGTGTCCAGTCACAGGCAGGAAATACTTGCTAGTTAGCAGTAGCATGTAGCAACCCAACAAAGCTGCTGGTAGGGTGGACTGCGCATGTCACAAAATGACGTATTCACATAAACAGAAGATTGCAGTTCAACCTCAGATCATGGATTTTTGAACATTTATGAACATCATATCATTTGTATACACACAAATTCACATCAGGGGTAGACATATAAAGTAAAACAAAATTACATTAAATAAATACATTCTAATAAAGAAAAAGATAATAATACAGTTATTAATCAAAAATTCATTTAAATATATGTTACATAATTAGTTTTTAAATCATACTGTTTTTAATAGTTATACTATATTGTTTTAACTCTTGGTGAGATCATGGATGACAACTGGAGCGGGACCTCGTTCATTCCTATGAAAGTTGCTCAGTGGCGATAAGCCAAAATAGCCTGCCTTTCGAGAGCAAAAGTACCCGTATGTGGGCCTATAGAGCATGCGCACTTGAGTTTTCCCTTAAGCCCCTCCTCCGATGTCCCGCTCTCGGTTCAGTCAGAATGGATAGACCAAAATGTTGACCACTACAAAATGTGCCTCAACTTCTGGCGCACTTCCTGGGGGGTTTGTCTGAGATCAACAAAGCATTTGATTTGAATGTCCTCACAGAACCGGAATATAAGTCTTCATTGAAATAGGGTTTATTATTAGAGCACTATAGTTTCAATTAAAGTATTTGTGGACTTCAGTGACAGAAACTTCTGGGTATCACAGGCGGGCGTCATCGCTTCTGTGTTGTGACGGTGCAAACCGGTGGAGCGTCCAATGATTCAACAGCTGATCGGGGTTAATTTTACCCTACCAACCTATATATATAACGACAGCCCGGGTGAAACATCTGCACAAGAGACCGGCTAGTTTTTAAGGAGTCTTTCGGGTTTTAAGAGGCAACAATGGCAGTTCCTATAGCTGCATTACAACTGAGCACACCATCCAGCCCCAGTCTGCTGGAGCACAACATTCACAACAACAACAAAGATTTAGGAAGGATTTCAATGGACAATGACAACGACACTCTGCCTTTACATTCTTCTTGGACCTTCTGGCTTGATAGGTAAGACACTGCTTGTGTATTTGTTTCCCTTGATCGTTATATTATTCATCATGAGTGTCAAGTAGGGGAACTCTTTGTTGCTGACTTTTTGATGAGAACAAAGAAGAGACAATGTATCAGGCCTGCTATAAATCGGCATTTTTTCCAACCCAGAACAAATATTGTGTGTTTAACAGCGATTTGGGTATTGTCTGGTTTATTAAATGGCATAACAATAACATAACAACAAACAGTTCCTTCAAATTTTGTAATGGTAGATTTTATTTTATTTTTTTATCTGACCTACATACTTGCTCTACATGGAAGGATCATAAAGGAAACAAAAGGGCGTACTTATTAATAACTGGTTAATCATAATAACTATATTTAAGACAAGGTCAGCTCATCCGGAACCTTTATAAGAAATGTGTTAAAAACTAATGGTGTCACTCCTCATGTGTCTGTTGCTTTTCTTTACTGTTTATAACTTTTTAGTTTTATTTTAATTTGTGTTTAGTTAAAACTTACCAAGCCATTGCTTTATAAAAACTTCCCAATTTAAAGTTATTATATAAAGAGTTATTTCATAATGAATGTTAGGCAACAACAACAGAGGTTAACACAGGTGACCGTGAGTTGAGTTACACAAGCATGTAGAAGTCAGAGGGTGCTGTGTTCAAACGGGGTCAGTGTTGTTTACTGGATTATTTGTCATCTGATAACCCCCCC